CGATCGGACGTTTGCTGCGTGGGCATTTGTATAGCGCGGGCATAGCAATTTTCCTTCCCTCGCGCATCACGCAACGCCGTTTTGTGTTGAGGATGAAACATATGGAGGATTCAAAAATTAACGAGAAACAAGCGGGAGCCGTATATTGTGCGAGGAGTATATGGGAATTCTTGTCAGAGATATGTATGAAAATTGACATCCTCCGCGAGAAGTACAAAGGTAGCATATCCGCGCAAGGACATTTTTCAAGGATGTCCCATCCATCATAGTGTCCCTGTCATGCCATCTGTCATAAGTAATTATATAGTATTTACTGTTAAAGAAAGTGCAGATGATCGAGCACATTTTATATTTTAATTAGCAGCATATAATGACAAATGTTTCTCTTTTCTTTTATAACATTTTTTTATAACAATAATTACTCCTTTATCTTCGCAGGAAAAAAAAATTTTTAAGAAAGTTATCAACTGTAAAATATATGGTGGAAATCACATCAGGATATCACAAAAAAATCACCTCTCGACCATCCAGATTCTTAAGTGAAAAATCCGTTAGTCGATTCGATAGAAATTATCTGACTGGCTACGTAGTGAGACACCAGCGATCTTCGCGGCTGTAAAAGACTGTAGGAGAGGGTTAGATAGTAGTAGCGACAAGCCGGCAGGTTGACGAGGTACTTTCCTTGTGGCCAGCCGAGAACCGATCATCACTGCGAGCTAGTAATCAGCTGCGAGCTCGCTGCTGCTTCTGCATCGCTTAGCTTCGCTTCCCCTCCATCGGCCTTTCCATCCCTCTCCCTCCCCGTAGCCGCTCTCTTTCCACTCTTGTTCTCGCGAGTCCTCTGGGCTCGCTTTGCTCTCGCTGAGCACAAATTGTCTTCCAAGAATGGTACGCTACAGATTATAGGAGGTTCAACGTTCTTGAGATTACGACGAGCGGTAGCTTACCCAAATCTTACGTCCCTCGACATTGTTCTGTCTGTTTTGGGTATCCCAACTCCTTTGCGAATTGTGATTCAGATACTCATACTCATTCGAACGTTTGTGTGGACATTTCTCCTCTCAAATCTTTCACTCGTTCGTCATATTACATCTTTTTGCTCAAATGTATAAATTGTATTGAGTATATGACATACGCTTTTACTATCAATCGACATAACTTTTACATAACTTTTTTCAAATTTCAAATTTTTTATAAATAATAATTAGTCATAAGTGAGGCAAAAGTGGTTCTTTTTTTTTTTCAGCTACCATATCAGATGTCTGTGGATATCAGTAATCCTTCGGTGTTAAGCAGTTCTCTGAACATCTCTCAAGCCGGCGAAATACCTATCGGCAGTCTGCAAACGTGGGCTTTGTCGTTGCACTGCGGACCCTACAACGTCGAGGTCGACCTTAGTCTCCGAATAACTGTTTCGTTATCAAGAAGAAATATCACCAGCTTGGAGTTCAAGAGAAAAAAGATCTGTATGAAGAAAGAAAGTTACACCGAACCCGAGGAAGTTCTAGTCGCCGCCTCCGGTTCTACTTCTGGCGGTCAAATCTTTTACGCAGCGATTGGTTGCGCGTGTGCATTTATCGCGGCTATTTTCGTCTTGATTATGGCTTACTACGTACGCGATAAGAAGACTAGAAGACATCGAGATCCTCTTCAGTGAGTGAGGAAGTCGTTAAAAAGAACCGAAACAATCGGCTAATTTTTTTCCAATATGCACGGAAAATATTCATGTCAATGGTATGAATTGCAGAGAATCTAGAGGACTCAGTTCGGCATGCAGTATGGAAAGAGGCACCGGAGTAGGACCTGCACAAACTTTCTTGTCGCCGGAAACACCTCCACCTGCGTCCGCTGCGTCAGGATCGTCTTACAGAAGGCTGGATGATCGTTCTAACAGAGAACTTCATGAAAGAATCCAAGAAATTACCGTGCAAAGGTGACTATCGCATTTTAAAATTGATAAATAAAATTGATTGAATTTAATTTAAAAAAAAAAAAATATCACGAATATCAAATATATTCTGTTCTATTATGAGAACTTTAATTGATTATCACTTTGAGAAATTTATTTGTCACAGTAAGTGTCATAAAGATCGATCTTTCTGATTCGCTTAATATCAAAGAAATATGCAGAAAATTGTGAGAGTGAAGTAAAATAATTTATCTTTTTCATGTTACAGATGTAGGGTGCGTCTCCTCAGTATCGAATTGGAGGGAACATTTGGGCGCGTGTATAGGGGCAGTTACCACGAAGAAGGCGCTTCATTGCCGAAAGATGTACTAGTGAAAACTGCTGCCGAGCACGCATCTCAATCGCAAGTAGGTTAATTTGAAATTATTCTCAAATGATTTTTTCGAGATAATTAATCAGTATACAAATAAAAAAAAATATATATATGTGTGTGTGTGTGTGTGTGTGTGTGTGTGTGTGTGTG